CGGCTGAAGAGTGTAACCAAGATATCTTAATTCCCCAGAGAGTGAGCCAACTAGTCAACGATACTCTCCCCAAGCAGAGTTAGTCCACTGTCAGCCTTAAGGAAATTTGGTATCCCCATCAGATCTCAACATTCCTCAGTGGAGTATACAAACATTCTTACAAAGCATCCTCGGCAGTCTTGATCTAAGATTGTTCCCCGGCGGTATACCAGACGTTCAATGGAGCCATTCCCCAGTCCAATCTGAAAAGTTTCCCCAGGAAAGTGGAATCCATCTCCCTAGCAGGAAGCTTATCCCCAGTAGATTCTGGAAGCTTGTCACCCGCATGGTATGAACGCTCCCCCGGCTTTATACAGAAGGTTATTTCCCCACCAGGATATAACTGGGTTATCCTCAACCAATTGTCACGGAAAGATCTTCCCCGACGAAGTCTTCCTATCCCCCAGCGGAGTTCATCAATTCCTTCAACATAACACATCAATGGTATCCCCATCAGAGTTATCATCGACTTCAGCAAAGTACCTCCCTTTCCCTACAGAGTTCACTCCCCGCAGAGTAATTTATTCACCAAGTTTAGTCCCCAACGGAGTCATCTTCTCCTACCGGTATTCTCGCAACCATCATCCCCAGCGGAAACAAAAGCTCTACTCTTCAGCATCAGCCCAGGATTTGACTTCCCGTCATTCGTCAAGGATTTACTTTCTTAGACAAAAATACATTCATAAACATCACATCTTCATACATTATGGCATACACATACGCATCACGAACATACAATCTCATTTATTCTGAGAACATCACACATCTCATACATCATGACATCGCATACAACTAACGTTTTGTCTTTTCAGTACAAAGGTTAATACAAAGATGATTACTATCAACGGTCGCAACTAAAGATCCGATTCTTGTATCTTGCCAGGGTGTATCTATTGACGACTATACCAGACTCGATTCCTGTATCCGGCCAAGGCACGTCTGAAGAGTTTGAAGATCCGATTCCTGTATCTTGCCAGGGAGTATCTGTTGACGACTATATTCCAGACTCGATTCTTGTATCTTGCCAGGGCACGTCTGAAGAGTTTGAAGATCTGATTCCTGTATCTTGCCAGGGTGTATCTGTTGACGACTATATTTCAGACTCGATTCCTGTATCTTGCTAGGGCATGTCTGAAGAGTTTGAAGATCTGATTCCTGTATCTCGCCAGGGTGTATCTGTTGACGACTAATTCCAGACTCGATTCCTGTATCTGGCCATGGCACGTCTGAAGAGTTTGAAGATATGATTCCTGTATCTTGCCAGGGTGTATCTGTTGACGACTATACCAGACTCGATTCCTGTATCCTGCCAGGGCACGTCTGAAGAGTTCGAAGATCCGATTCTTGTATCTTGCCAGGGTGTATCTGTTGACGACTAATTCCAGACTTGATTCTTGTATCTTGCCAGGGCACGTCTGAAGAGTTCGAAGATCTGATTCCTGTATCTTGCCAGGGTGTATCTGTTGACGACTAATTCCAGACTCGATTCCTGTATCTGGCCAGGGCACGTATGAAGAGTTTGAAGATCTGATTCCTGTATCTTACCAGGGTGTATCTGTTGACGACTATACTAGACTCGATTCCTGTATCCTGCCAGGGCACGTCTGAAGAGTTCGATGATCCGATTCCTATATCAGGCCAGGGCACGTCTGAAGAGTTTGAAGATCCGATTCCTGTATCTCTCCAGGGTGTATCTGTTGACGACTAATTCCAGACTCGATTCCTGTATCTGGCTAAGGCACGTTTGAAGATTTTGAAGATCTGATTCCTGTATCTTTCCAGGGTGTATCTGTTGACGACTATACCAGACTCGATTCCTGTATCCTGCCAGGGCACGTTTGAAGAGTTCGAAGATTCGTCCTGTATCTTGCCAGGGTGTATCTGTTAACGACTAATTCCAGACTCGATTCCTGTATCTTTCCAGGGCACGTCTGAAGAGTTCGAAGATCCGATTCCTGTATCTTGCCAGGGTGTATCTGTTGACGACTAATTCCAGACTCGATTCCTGTATCTGGCCAGGGCACGTCTGAAGAGTTTGAAGATCCGATTCCTGTATCTTGCCAGGGTGTATATGTTGACGACTATACCAGACTCGATTCCTGTATCCTGCCAGGGCACGTCTGAAGTGTTCGAAGATCCGATTCATGTATCTTGCCAGGGTGTATCTGTTGATGACTAATTCCAGACTCGATTCCTGTATCTGGCCAGGGCACGTCTGAAGAGTTCGAAGATCCGATTCCTGTATCTTGCCAGGGTGTATCTGTTGACGACTAATTCCAGACTCGATTCCTGTATCTTGCCAGGGCACGTCTGAAGAGTTCGAAGATCCGATTCCTGTATCTTGCCAGGGTGTATTTGTTGACGAATATTCTAGACTCGATTCCTGTATCTTGCCAGGGCACGTCTGAAGAGTTCGAAGATCCGATTCCTGTATCTTGCCAGGGTGTATCTGTTGATGACTATATTCCAGACTCGATTCCTATATCTAGCCAGGGCACATCTGTGAGTAACTGATTGTAGACTCGATACATGTATCCAGCCAGGGCACAACTACATAAAGAATTTGAAGATCAACCCCTGTAACAGGCCAGGTAATTATTTTTCTCTCTCAGGTACGCAAGTTCTCGCTAAGTAACCTCTTATGCGATCGACACCTAGATGGCTTCTATAAGCCCATCCACATACCAACAGCTCCAGATGGCATCTATAATCCCATCCTCCTATCCATCATCTCTCCAAATGGCATATGTAAGCCCATTCCCTGCATCATACTGTTGACACTCTACTATGCGAGTGCAAATTTCTGGGCACTCTAGTGTTCAATCATCTTCCACCTTCGGATTACGAAAGGCACGCTGTTGCACCCCAAAATTTGCCCTCCTAATTTCCTTTATTTTGGCTTAGACTTTTGCATTCATCTGCATCTTTTTTCATTAGGTCACTAACATGGCATACATTTCATTCAATATAGCTCTGAGGTTCAAAGTTCAGTGGTTGTGCGATACTAGGGTTTCATAGTGGTTAAGGCGCTCATATCCAATAAAGGACTTCTTCTCCCTCAAGCAGCAAGGCTATTATCTTCTGATGAACAACCGATTGTAGGTCATTCTGGTCAAGAACTCTAGGACGTGACCTAGCATATGTGGGCTTCGAATCATGACGTCCTTTCCTATAAGTATGCTTGTCATTTGATTAGGATTAATGACTGTGACATGATAATCGTCTACTCCTCAGTTAATCAAATTAGGTTTTGTTGAATCATGGTTCAAAGATGTTTTATCCGGATATTTCTCTGTGCGTCTGGATGAGGAATCAAGATTGTGAGGGTTTCACATCAAGGGAATTCTTCTGTGATTCAGACTTTATCATCCACCTGTAAGATGTTCCTTATGACACTAATCTCAAGTTGAAATAACCGATCGCTAAGGGCTGAGGATTGAATTGTGAAGCGTGGTTCATGACCTAAGATATGAATTCATAGATTTCTCCTTAACCAAGGCCATCATTGTCCTCATCATTGTCATTTGTTATCTGCGATGTGAGTAGGTTTGGATTGAAGTAGGTTTCCCATAGAAGAATTCATGCAAGGTAATTCAAGGTTCAAGGCATTCAAGGCAGGGTTTGTTCAACATGGCATACCTGGTTGATGGGCTTACAAGCTCTTATGAGACCTTGAGATGCATAATCATGGGTCAATTTCAAAGATATGTGGATAAGATCTGTTGACTTCGGTTAAAGTAAGCTTTGAAAAATTAAATTTGGGACCAAGGTCTCCCTTGAATTTTCATCTAATATGTGTTGGGAATTCTAGTTGCATTTGAAGAATGGTATGGTAAAGGAAAAGAAATATTGGTTCAGAAAAGAAAAAAAATCATTAAAAATCAGGGTTTCTATTCATTGATAAAAGTTCAAGTAATTGAAGATCATGGGAAATAAGGTTTCATATTAATCTTGATCATATTCTTTCATTATCATTTACATCCATCTTTGATGATTTAAGGTCGTCAATTAGGGAAGGACTTTGTCAAGATAAGAGACTTGTGGATTGAATCGTGGAATATGAGGCATGATACAAAAGGCAAGGGTATGAATTTTTTAGGATCAAGATCTTATTGACTATTCAAATTATTTGTCATTCAAGTTGATTTGGGTTCAAGATTGAAGTTAGGAGTTCATTGAGAATGCAAGTGTGATTTGGATTTGAAGTTTGATTTGAGTTCAAGATGTTCGAAAGTGTTTGATTGGATTAAAGTTGGCAAAGAGCCTTAAGTATTGGTCATATGAGTTTCTTGGAAGGTAAAGTACAGACTGCGAGGTCTTGTTTCAAGTCGGAGTTCATACGCATTACAAAGACGTTCATCGTTATTCCAGATTCAAGTTGACATGTGTTTAAAGTTTATTCGAACCCTTTCATTCATGATTTAAAAAAAAACTATCCAATTCCATTCAATTTCATTCAAGTGTAACAATACCTTACAAGAAAATTTGATGCTTTCATGTCTTCAAGCATTTTTTCAAGACTTTGTCATTTAAACTCCGTCCTTAAAATTCATCACCCAACATTTCAAGCTCAAAGGTTATTTACAATTCACACTATAAATTTCAAGTTCATCCAAACCAAACATTCATTATAAAATCATTACAATCCCATTACACCAGTATTCTACAAAGAAAAAAAACTGTTACAAAATACACTTGAACAAAAATTCTTTAGTCCTAAAGGTGCTGAAATTCCATGAGTAAACTTCTAATTCCATGCCATGCCAAAGTTCTTCATCTTCAGTTCATGACCTGCACATTCATACAAAAAAAAAATCCAAGTCAATACAAGCAATCATGCCAAAATATCCTATGCTCATACAAATTATTCGACACGTGAAAAACCATTAATTAACCCAAACCAAATGCTAAACACATATATGGAACAAACCTCTCTCTTTCATTTCTTACTCATTTCTTTGATGGCTTCTGCTGTTCCCACCCAAACCATCGACGCCGATGAACTTCTGTTATGCTCGATTCTCCACCGAACCGACTTCGCTTTGCAGATAAACGCCAATCCTAACGTATGGGCGGAGGAAATCACCTCCATGCTTCACTCCTCCGCCGTCACTCTCCCCTCCGTCGAGCTTGCTCGCCGTCTAGTTTCTCATTTCTTTTGGAACTGTCACGGTCCTACCGCTTGGAAGATTCTTGATGTTGCTGCCTCCCGCAATATCATCCCTCCCTTGCTCCTCCTTGCTCTTCTCTCCACCAGGATTGTTTATTGTAGGAGACTTCAACCGATAGCTTATAAACATTACTTGGAACTCGTTAAGCTACATGCGTTTACGCTGGAAACTCATTTCAATTCTCCTAAAAACCAAATGATTATGGAATCAATTGATGATGTTATTAAGCTTTCTCAAATATACGGTCAAAAGGATTGTGAACCAGGAGTTGTTCTTGTGGAATTTGTCTTCTCAATTTTATCGCAGTTGCTTGAAGCATCTTTAGATGATGAAAGGTTATTATATAATATTCCAGAGATTAAGCCAAGATGGCTAAGCAATTCACATGATATGGATATTGATGTGCCTGACTGCAACAATAGAATGCATCGTAGGCAGAAGGAGTGGTTGCTGAGGGAAAATACAAAGTTGGCTATTGAAATCATTGTAGAATTTTTGCAGAATAAAATGACATCAAGGCTTCTTTCCTTAGTTCATCGAAACATGCCATTACACTGGGGATCTTTCAATTACCAAATGCAGTTGCTTGCATCAAACTCTTCACTTTTGAGGAATTTGAAACATAATTCAAACACCCTTTTATCTTTAATGGAAAATATCCGTGTGGGTGTATCTCATGAACGCAATACAAAATCTAAGCTGGAGTCTAATGTAGTAGTCACACCTACTGGTTCTCAAATATCTTTTGCTGGTCAATCTTATGGTAGTAGTTGGTCTTCACTATGGCTTCCTATTGATCTTATACTTGAAGATGCTTTGGATGGAGGGCAAGTAGCAGCTTTTAGTGCTATTGAAATTATTACTGGTTTGGTAAAGCTTTTACATTCAGTAAGTGGCTCTAAGTGGCAAAATACATTTTTGGGTTTATGGACTGCAGCACTACGGTTGGTTCAAAGGGAAAGGGATTCAAAAGCAGGCCCTATACCTCGTCTTGATACCTGCATGTGTTTGCTGTTGAGCATTACAACCCATGTGGTTGCAAATATTGTTGAAGAAGAAGAAAGTGAGTTGATTGAAGAAGCTGAACGCGGCCCTTCAAATCAAGGAAAAAGTAAACAGGTTCTAGGGAAGCGTCGTGGGGAATTGATTACTAGTTTGCTGTTATTGGGTAATTCTCAGTGTTTGCTTATTCCACCTCAAACTGCTCTCATGGAAACCAATCAAGCTGCCGCCAAGGCTACTAAGTTTGTATCACGAAACCCTGTGGGTAGTGGGTACGTAGAATCATTGACCATGGATGACTTGCCTACGAACTGCTCTGGCAACTTACTGCATCTAATTGTTGAGGCATGTATTGCAAGAAATATACTCGACACATCAGCATATTTTTGGCCTGGCTATGTGAAGCCCCGCAGCAATCAAATTCCTTTCAGCATTTCTAACCATGTGGATGGCTGGTCTGCATTGATGAAGGGATCACAGTTAACTCCTGGATTAGTTGATGTCTTAGTTGCAACTCCTGCTTCCAGCTTAGCGGAGATTGAAAAGATATATGAAATTGCAATCAGTGGTTCAGACGAAGAGAAGATATCTGCTGCTACCATTCTGTGTGGGGCATCTCTAGTTCGTGGATGGAATATACAGGAACACAGTATTATTTTTATCACAATGTTGCTCACACCTGTTGGTCTGCCTAATCACACTGAGACCGAAAGCCATTTGATCAACTTGCTCTCACATGGGTCTCTGCCAATAGTGAAAGACTTGCCCGGATTGATTCCAATTTTGAACTTAAGATGCACACGCTGCAGTATGTAGAGGTTGTGCAAAACAAAACCCAAGTTGATGCACTAAAATATTCCAGAACTTAATTTTAAAATCCTCTACTTCCCTCAAGGACATTCCGAGCATACACATGAACATGTCAGCTTTCCTGCTAACTTCAACACTCCATCCAAAATTCCATGAAGAGTTGCAGCTGATCCCGACACGGATGAAGTGTATGCAAAACTAAGGCTCTTTCCTCTGCAACCTAGCGATGTTAATTTTGATGGTGACACTGTTGCTGGCGTCAATGATAATCTGATGCAATCCTATACAAAGACCTTGACACAATCTGATGCAAATAATGGTGGTTTCGCTTGTCCTAAGAATTGTACAGAAATAATTCTTCCTCCATTAGACTATTCAGATAGGCTTCCTTCTCAGGAAAACTGGACTAGGGGGATTCACTTGTGTTTGTGAAAGCTGCAAACAGTGATTTTCATATTGGAATTCGAAGGAAATGAATGTAGATTTAACTTTCCATCAAAGAGGAAACCTAAAACGGGAACTCTTCCTCAATCACCTTACGCTGCTGATCCAGCATGGTCTGACTCCCTTTGGAAAATTCTGCAGGTTACATGGGATGATCCTGATTTAGTTACAAATACGAAGAGGCTGAACCCCCCTAGCGATTTTCTAAAAGATTGTTAACCTCCATAACTGCTAACCAATTATAACTGAATTTAAAACTCTCAAACTGTAACTAACTTCCTCATCTCCTAACAACCTAGTGCTAACCTAGTTTTGAAACTAACAGAATTTCACTTCTAAAAAAAAACTGTCAAAGTTAACTTCTAACCGACTACACCAAGTTACTGAATTTAGAAAACTAACTCTAACAGTAGTTTTTAGCTTCCAACTGACTTGTTCCTAACATCTAACATACCTAACTTCTAAGAGAAATTTCACTGGCAGTTATTAACAGAACCAATAGGAGTTAACAGTTCTAACTACTTAAAATCTGACCGTTCATCTTGTAACTGACTGATTTGATTCAAGGGCTCAGATCTTCACGTCTCTAACCGTTTCCATCTCCCTCAACTACCTATATAATCCAAAACTCCCCAGCAGAGGAGGGGACTTTCTCTTTTCCAGTTTCAAACTTCATCCTCTCTCCACCATTTTTTTCTATCCTCTTCCATCAACACGCTTCATTGTTCACCCAGAACTCAAAAAGTTTTCGGAATTCTCTCTCTTTCTTCTCTAACCAATACTCTTCACCCTTCAAGCCACTCTTCATTTTTACTTACTTCTGAAACCCTGCTTCATCTTCATCAAATCATCTCTCTGTAAACTCAAATCACACTCCTACGATCTCACTCAAACACAACTCACAACGACAACCGCAACAACCCTATGCTCCTTCCTATCAATGCTCATCAATACACGCACTTGGAAGTCACAAAGAAACGCAAGAAAAAAGAAAGAAGAAGAAGAGCGGAAGAATAGTTCACGCAACCGGAGTTATAGAAAGTACGTACCTGAAGTAAAATAATCTCGCCGATAATCACTTTCCTCAGATTGTATTCTGGCCGGTAAGCCTCAACTTCTCTCTATTTCTTCATCAATTTCACTATACCATATTTTCTCTATTCGCGATTCAGTGTGAAGTTTATGAGGAAGGGAGTTGAACCGATGAAAGAGAGAGGAGTTGTGGTGGCGTTGGGCTGTCTTATGATGGAAAAATGAATCGTCTAAGAAGGAGGTTGCGGCACCATTGGTGTTGAGGGATCGGAGAAGAGGACGATTGGGGATGACGCACCGTTGAGAGTCAGAAACAAAGGGAGTCTGTGTTCGAAGATTTGAACCGTAAACCAAACTTAACCTAATTCCCTAAAATTTTGTTATTTAATTTTTTTTTTGTTATAATCAATAAAAACGTAATATGAATAATAGGGAGGCTGTTAGTAATTTGTTTGTGAAGTAAGTGGACCGAAACTCACCCAAAATGTAGTCCAATATGCAATTTTTTTTGTTGCATTTTTGATGTTGGTGAGACATAAATAATTGTTTGGACTATATTGATGGGCCTTCAGCGCCTGTTTGCTAGATCATATCTCATGTTCCCATATTGCACCCCCTGGGCTAGTTCTCACTATTTGCAATTTCTTTTTTTCTTAATTTCAATTATGGTTTAAGACTTGTTTTAATTTTCTTCACAAAATAAAAATAATAAAAATCAGTAAAATTTGTTAGATTTTTTTTCTTATTTTGATTTTTAGGAATTAATTCATGGTTATCCGATTATTCGAAATTCATGATTCACCTTTGTTTGTTGAGATTTAAATCTTATGCCGGTTTATTATGCGGTATGCGGATACGCTTGAAATTTCGATTGTGATTTATTTTCACATCGATGATGCTTCAACACTTATTCCGAGCATTGGATTTCTAATTCTTTTCTTTGTTGATGCTAGCAACTCGTGAGATCATCAAGTTTCTTTGCTTTTTACTTTGCTCTACGAGCTAGTACTCGTTTGGTATATTTTATTTCCACTCTCACCCCACATTTATCACTTCCCATAGATTGCATGGTATGATGACTTTAGGTTTAGAAATAGGTTAGTCTCCCTGTGACTTTTCTTTTTTTTCTTTTCGCATATGCATTAAAAAAATAAAAACTTCTTTTTCTCGTAAACTTCAAAAATACAAAAACATTTACTGACGAGAATCATATCTTCGTTAAGTATGTGAGACGATAAGCGGGTCTCTTCTCGACCTTATTGATCTCTTATTCTAAGCTTTGGTGTGGTTTAAGTCTCAAAGACTCATTTCATGAATAAGTAGAGAAATGGCTAAAATCTCTCTCTTGAGGTTAACTAGCTATTATCTACAAGTAAAAACACCAACAAACATAAAAATCTTTTTGCCCTCGGGCCTTTCTTTCAAATCCTTTTCAAAAGAGCGTATTAATTCACTTCTGTGCTGACGTGTAAATCTCCAAAGGTCGAGTTGCGGCAGAAGGCGAGATTAATACTGTTCGTTAAAGAAAATACAAACAAACAAAAACACATAAGCCGAACTACGGCTGCTCTGATTCCTTAAAACGGATATGTAGGCATCGGGGTAGGGCCCGAACGAGCACAATTTTATTTTCCCTATATTCTTTTCTCCTTTTCTTTTGCATGCACTTTCCCTTCCCTTTAGCAATAATAGACAGTAAGCATAGATTAAACACACCCATAAGATAGATAACAAGAGTGGATACCGTAGAGTACTACGGGCGTGTGGGGTGCTAATACCTTCCCCTCGCGTAACAGACTCCCTTACCCTTATCTCTTGGTCGTTCGACCTTGGTTTCATCCTTCTCAGGTTTTCTCGATGTTTACCTTTCCCTTCATGTGGGATAAAAGACGTTCGATGGCGACTTCATTGTTTGATGATTTTCAGCCGGTTGTTTCAGCTGGCGACTTCACTGGGGAACTGGTCGACCAAATGCTGGTCCATCCCAGAGTCGCTCCTAGCTCTTGCTTTCTCTTCTTTGGGTGTTTATTTTTATGCTTTCAGTTTACTCATTTGTACATGTTTGCCTGAGCATAAGTTTGCATTGCATTTTATTGCTTTCCCTATTTGTTATCTATTATGCTGGACTCGGTTTTCCATGTTGGGTGGGGATGTCACTATTGAGGTAAAACGCCCAGTACCCAGGCCAGAGTGCACTAGGACACTAGGAATAGAGTGGGGGCATGACGGCTATAGGACGTGGTCCGATTAGTGCAGTCTTGTCATATACCACGCTCGGATGAGGTTCAAATGAATTATTATCGGCACCCACGTCTGTGGGTAAACCCATAGTACTTTCAGGCGGACCCATGATTTTCGAGTTACCATTGTCTTACCCTGACCTAGTCTTCACCCGTGAGTGGGGAGGGATTTGTCATTACAGGTACAGTTGGTGCTATGTTCAATTGGTTACTCATGCTCAGATGGAGACTGTGATTGGATGGTGATTAGTGGTTCTAATGATCATGTTATAGACTTCTGTCAATGACTTATGCATATGGTGTTTTGTTGATGACTATATGGGTCTCAGATTTTTTTCTTCTGGATTCGGTATTCAGGATGGTTATCTAGTTATGTTCCGGACCTTTGATCCTGATATATTTTACTTGGTCAGAGATTATACAACGGTTAATCATGGTACTTGGTTCCATTGTATGATGAATTTGGTTCTGAACCTTTGATCCTGTGATATCCATATTATTCAGCAGATTTATACAGCAATTATCCAGAGGATTGTACAATTGTTATGCTGAACTTTTGAACTTATGTCATTGCACCTTGCATCATAACATGTTTATTTTACACAAAAAAGGAAATGTGAAAGATTATATGCAAAAAAAAAAATGTTTGAACATGGCATTGCATCCGCTCATTCACCTCATGCATCCATAGCAGGTACTCAGAATGGGGAATCCTTATTCAGACTCGGTATTTTCTTTTCAGAGCTGCAAATCTTGACTTCTCGTCGCTTCGTGGTCAGATTCAAGATATGGAACAACCTAGTGGGGAATTGGACGAGATGAAAGAACAGATGGGATTCGTGGTGCTAGACATGCAGGATTTGGTGCGTGGACAAGAACTCCTGAAAGAAGAGAACACTCAGTTGAAGACTCAATTGAATTTGGTTATGGAAATTTTGGGGACAATGTTGAAGAAAGAAGATGTTTCTATGCCTACGACAATAGGAGTTACCATTACTCCCCATAACCTGAGGACTCTTGTAGGTCAGGGAGTATCTCCTCCGCAACCGTGCATTCCAGGATCCTCCCATCCGCAACAAGTTGTCACTTCCCGAGAGGACCCAAAAGGCAAAGTCCGTCAGTAGAGGCCAAAACAGCCTGAACGAAAATTTGATCCTATTCCAATATTGTATGCACAATTGCTTCCTCTCCTGCTAGAATTGCATTTGGTTAAACTCCGAATTTTCACTACACATGAAAAACGCCCTTATGGCTTTAACGACAATGCTAGGTGCGATTTTCATTCTAGGGAACCTGGTCATGATACTGAAGATTGCGTAGCTTTTAAGCACCAAGTCCAGGACTTGCTTGATGCAGGGACAATTCTCTTCACTCCCGAAGGTCTGAGTGTGCAAATCAATCTTATACCAACCACTACAAAGAATAGGGCTACGCCTTCTCCTCTTCAAAGTTCTATTAAACGATCAGAGTCACGTCATCCACAACCTATAATCCCGGAAAGTCCTCACCAGCAGTCGTTTGTAAGTTGTGGAAATCGGTTGGTTAATCAAAACCATAATGTTCCTCGTGTTCACTTGGCTCAGTGTGCTACTCGGCAACAAACCTATCAACAAATACATACGCAACAAGGTAAGCAAAAGGATAAGAAGCCAAAGAGGGTGTTCGACATTGTTCCTTTGACTTATGGCCAGCTGTTCTCTCAGTTGCTCAAGCTTT